GAGAGAGAGAGAGAGAGAGAGAGAGAGAGAGAGAGAGAGAGAGCTTCCCCCTGGCTCCTGCTGTCCTAACACTGCCCTGTGCCACTCCTTCTCCACCATATTGGACTGGACTCGCTCCAACCCCAAATCATAGTAGACCACTGTCAAGTAGACAACATAAATCTGTCATGTTTTGTGTTTTCCCAAAGCAGAATTTGAATTTTAATACTAAAAGTAAATGAACCTGATGCCCTCCCCTCACTCAGTTTTTTCTGCTTCAGGTGCTTACAAGTTCTTCTGGCCTGGGTGTTGACCTAGCTTTTGGGAGGAAGGACTGGTTATGCAAAACTTCACAAAAGCATGCCCAGGACACAAATAAGAATATAGAGCCAGTCAGTGATGATGCACATCTTTAATCCCAGCACTTGGGAAGCAGAGGCAGGTGGATCTCTGTGAGTTCGAGGCCAGCCTGGTCTACAGAGTGAGTTCCAGGACAGCCAGGCTACACAGAGAAACCCTGTCTCTAAAAATCAAATTTAAAAAAGAAAAAAGAAAAAGAAAGAGGTGGCTGCATGGTTAAAAGAAGTAACTGCTCTTCCAGAGGACCCAGGTTCCTTCCCAGCACCCACATGGTAGCTGACAACTGTCTGTAACTCCAGCTCCAACGGATCCAGCACTCTTTTCTGACCTTTGAGATTCTGCACTACATTCTGCACTGACATACACATAGGCAAAACATTCATGTACCTAAAATAAAAATAAATCACACGCACACATACAGTAGGTGTATATTTCCAGAGCAGTCAAGGTAGTGATCCATTTAGCTGGAACAACTCCAAGTTTAGGGCTAAATCTTCAGAAATGGAGAACTAAATTCCTGGTAGGGGATCCCCTACTGTGAAACTAACTATCAGTTAAGGAGCCACACAATGGAAAATTCGACCTTTCTTATTGGAGCAACCTCTTGGAAACTGAGTAGCTGCTGAAATGAAATCACAAGGGCTCCTTGGGAAATCCAGTTGTTTTGTTGCAGCTCAAGGTCCCTTGTGTCCTGTAGGAATGCTGTTTGCCACTTTCTGACCAAAGACTCTAATTGGCCATTGATGATGTTGAGGACATATCTAAGATGACTTCTTTTTGCTTCCCATTCCATTATCTCTCTTTGATTCATAAAGAGGGAAGCATGGCTGCACCCATATTCTTTCATGGCAGCTTTGAGTTCAATAAGGCAAAAAATGAAAGGGATCCTTGAAAGGAGGTGAAAAGTTGGAGAATCATGCTTGAGCCTCCCCCTCCATGAACTTTCACAAATCCAAGGGAGTAAAGAGTCTTCCCCTTGAGCAGGAGTGGGGGTGTGCCTATGCTGTGAGGAGACTCAGAGAGATGGTGTAAATTAACTGCATCTGCTGAGGCTGGGTGAGAAGGGGCTGAGATAATTAGCTGGCAGTATAGGAACAAGGGCAAAGGAGAGATTTCTACATTTACTCAGAGGGAATCTGAGATAAACTACTTTGCACCCATTTTGGTTCTTGGTAAGGGAATACAACAGACACCTTCAAGTTGGCAGACATCGAACCTAAGGACCATATGCACAGGTCAACCAAACCACTGCACGATACAAGCTCCACCTTCCCACCCAACAAAGGGGAGCCTGACCTCATGTCTTCTCACTTCTGACAATGAAGGCAAGATGATGAGGTTACACCCAAAAGACATTTGAGAGCAGTAAGAACATAGGTTCATCGGGGGAGGGGAGCTCTACAAGAAGCAAATTGCACAAATATGTATGTTCATAATAAAATTAGTTCTCCTAAAACCTGGCATTAACCAGTTTATAGCCCTGTTCTGTTTGTGTATTTCCATGTGTACGTGTGCAACATTTAGAGAGTGACACATATTTCAGGTGACTCAGAAACCTCACCAGGCTGTTTGGGTGTGTATATGACAGCTAAAACAAATGTCGCTGTCAGGTTAAACTCCGTGTTATATAAGGACACAATTTTCACCATCTTAAAAGAATTTAAAGAATTCTAACACAACCTATGAAGACACCTAATATGAAAATCTTTTGTCTCCACAGAAGCAAGAATATTGCCTTTTAGGAGCTGCAGAGATGGCTCAGTGGTTAAGAACTCATAGTACTCTCACAGAGGACCAGAGTTTAGTTCCCATCATCCATGTCTAGCCACCCCAACACCCTCTCCTGGCCTCTTCGGGAACTGCATGATGTGTACAAATCCCTACACAGACACATATATAATAGTTTTGTTTATTTTTTTAAAGACTGCTGTCTTTGGTGCTTTAACATATATTTCTGAGAGCAGGTTCAGCTTTTTCCATGAGTACATTTTAAAAATAAGGAGCTTTTTAAAATAAGAGCTACTGCGAAGCTCAGAGTCACTGTGTGCTTGTAAGATACAGGGGTCCATTAGCGATTACAGGTTTGCAAACATTTCTAAAAGTGGCTTACAGGGTATTTATCCCAAGAAGAGATATGACAGTCATGCAACTGGATAACCTTCCTGAAAGAAGACTACAGTTAGTGGGAAAGACATGATGAGTTTGGGTCAGAGTAGGGAAAGTGCTTACAGCAAAAAAATCTGACAACTTGAGTTTGGGTCACTAGAACCCAAGAAAAGGCAATCAGTAGCCCAAGAGTCTGTGATACCAGTGCCCTCTACAGGGAGATGGGAACCTGGAATGGGCCAGCTAGCCTCGTGAAACCAGCAGTGAGTAACAAGAGACCCTATCTTGAACAAGATGGAAACCAAAGGCCATCATCCAAAGTTCTCCTCTGAACTTCACACAAGCACTGTGGCACACTCACAGGCATGAACACACATGCACTCACACAAGCACACACACACACACACACACACACACACACACACACACACTCCACAAAGACTAGGTGAAAATCAGTGAACTTGTGTGCACACTCCAATGGACAAGACTTGCATCTAGGCTGCTTGCATGTGCTCCCAGTTCCCAGAGGATCCATAGGCATTGCAGGGTAGTACAGAAACGACATACTTTGCAGCCCCTATGAACTGGTTAGAGCAGGAAACATGCTTAGAGATGGCAGTTGTTGCCTTGAGAGAAGAAGGTGCCTTACAGTAAGATCAACTATATCCTGATTCTGCCATATCAGCTGGGTACACCATGTCACCACTCTGAGACTCTGAGTTTTTGGGTTTGGGGTTTTGTTTTTTTTGTTTTTTGTTTTTTTTGCTGTTGTTTTTGTTTTTCAATCTATAAAATGAGGAGAATGAATGGTCCTAGAGAGTCCTTCCAATGATATATATTTAAGTTTGCACTTTTGTAAATATCAGAAAAACAAAAAACAAACAAAAAAACTACCCTTAAATAACAAAGTTATCATACACATCCAACAAACACTTTCCACTTGTTCATTTCCCTCTTCCAGGCATCTCCATCATCTCCTGCAGCCCACAGCAGCAGGCAGCATCTCCCTAACAGCCATCACGTTACCATGGATGAACAATGATGCTGAGTGCATTGGCCAAGGTCAAGTGCTAGGACAGGATCACAAGTCCAACCTTGTCAGTCCCTGTGGCTGTGCTACACTTTCCATGCAGAAAGCAAGCTGACTTTCCTGGGAAAAATGCCAGCGGCTCCATCCTCCCCACTGAGAATATACTGGAATATTAGAATAACAACTTTGGAGACGGAGGTCTCTCCGAACCATTTCAGGACCTGGCTAGAAACATGAAAACCCAGAGAAAGAAGCAACAGGGAATTCTTCCCGTTTTTTAACGAAAGAGAAAAAATTAGGGATGGGAATATGGGGTTTCTTAAAAAATTACATGATTGCTGGAAGTTAATTTGGTATTTCTTCGTTGGTTTGTAAGTTCTGTTTCCAATCACAAAAACAGACAGCTGAGGAGGCCTAAATCGCATCTCAGTGAATTAGCATCTTGTCTTAGAGAATCTATTTCACTCTGAACACAGCGTAGAAGCCAGACTGTAGTCCTGTGTGGCAGGAAGGACTCGGTGTAAGAATGAATTTATCAGGAGCCCCTACATGGGTACTTGAGATGACAGGCTTCAAGGCCAACAACAGCCATCAAACATGGTTAATAAAAAAATAAAAAAAAATAAAAAAGTGACGTTGAATTTGGGATGTACTGGTTCCTCCAGAGAAAGGATTTGGTCATACCCTGCCAAACAGGGGCAGTGGTAGGGCCAAGGCCTCACCTTCTTTTGTCATTCACACATCTAGTAAGACTGAAGTTAGGGCAAATAAACCTGCCAGTGATTCGGAGTTCCCTGAAATGAAGGTCCTAGAACAAGCCTGTGCCTCAGCACCTGGGAGGCTGAGGCAGGAAAAGCACAAGTTTAAGCACACCTGAGCTGCAAAAACAAAGCCTCATCTCCAAACACCAAAGATTACATTTTAAATAAAGTGAATAAAGAAAAATAAAAGGAAGGTCCCGATTCCTAAATCCCAGCTATAGGAGCTTTGTGCCTTGTAGAAAATACAAAAGCCAAGATGACAGTAAAGTCCCCCAGGATCAGTCAGTCCCCAGAGCTGAGACTCACAAAAGAAAAAAACTAAACAGCAGAAATCGCATTCCCCCTACCTATCAATGATGACGGGGTCTGATGGAGTCTCATTCCGGTTCCCGCAGCTCTTCTTCTCGCAGCATCGACTGTAGAGGGGGAGGAAATCAGAACAATGAAAGAAACTGTATCAAACTGAAAAGGCTCAATGAGTACACAGCACAAGAACATTCCCAAATGGCCAAAGTAGCCTCCGGACTATAAACCGCACAAGAACAAACTTTGTAACAATGTTCTATTTATTTAAAGAAAAAGAGAAAAACTGAATCTGAAGCCTCCAAATTCATTCAAATTCTCTATCTCACAGGCTGGCAAGCCTCGGCTTTCCCAAGAGCCATATCTGTAACTTAGCCACAGATGTTTGCATTTTAAGGTCTATGAGGTCACGTCCAGGCTGATGTACGATGATTTTATGAAAGTGTATTTTAGGTCTTTGTATCCCAATAAATATTTAGAGAAAAAAGAGTGCAAAAATGCATAAAATAGACCAAGAGTAGCTGCCTGGGCTATTGTAAACCTTATTGACCTACTAGCTTTCTCTGGAAAACTAAGCATTTATTTATCCACTCATCATTTTCCAAAGAAGAAGAAGAAGAAGAAGAAGAAGAAGAAGAAGAAGAAGAAGAAGAAGAAGAAGAAGAAGAAGAAGAAGAAGAGAAATTATACATTTTAAAGTGTATAAGTCTTATACATTTTGTAAAAATGAATGTATTTTTTAAAAAAGAATGTTATACATTTTAAAATCAGGAGGAAATGAAACCCCAAGTTGGAAAAAGGTAGCTAACAATTTTCATCAGAACAGCAGAACAGAAATCGGACTTGAATGCATCAAATCCCATTCCTAATGTCTCTGCCTCCCAAAGTGCCCCCTCTGTAAAGTACAAGGAGTCTGACTGACTGACTGGCTGGCTGGCTGACTGACAGACAGACAGACAGACAGACAGAGAAATGTTGAAGGGGCGAGGCCCCCAGAGCAATTACAACAGCAGTGAAAGGCTCTGAATGGCTTGAGAGAGCAAACAGACAAACAGGCCAACATGGTACACAAATCCCTAACGGCTTCTCATCAGACAACAGACATTGAATTCTCACTATCAAATATGGTTGACTTAGCCTATAGCCTTGACATAGTTTATAAGCAAATCATGACCATGCCTACCAGTTGGAGATATCTCATACACGTTTGTAACAACCACCTGCATGTGGGTGCTGCCACACATGGCTCCTCAGCAGCTCAGACCTAGGATAGTGCCAACTGAGAAACTGCTGGACCAGGAATTAAAGACCTGACGCCTAAGCCGTCACTGACTACATGAACTTGGTCCAAAATCCCTCCCGAGTTTTGCTTCCCTTCTCCAGAAAATGTCTGAGTTGGTTATCTTTAGAACGGTGTCTATGGTTCAGCTGATGAGAAGGAAGAAATGAGAGTTCATACAAATTATAATAGTACAAGAGAAATAGGAAAGAAGCCCACATGGCAACAAGAGACCCCAAACCTGCCCCAGCCCAGTCAGGGATCTGCTCAGTGACCCTCCGCAGCCCATTCACCTTCTGATCCTCCACAGAACTGAACATAAACAATTGGAGGGGATGAAAAGATGGCTCAGCAGTTAAAAGCACTGACTGCTCTTCTAGAGGACCCAAGTTCAATTCCCAGCACCACATGGTGGCTCACATCTGTAATTTCAGATCCAGGGGATTCAATGCCCTTTTATAGCCACCTAGGGCACCAGGCATTCATATTATACACAGACATACATACAGGCAAAACATAGGCAGAAAAAGAATTTGTTTTGTTTTCCTGAGATAGGATTTCTCTGTGTAGTGCTGACTGTCCTTGAACTTACACTCTAAACCAGGCTAGCCATATCTGGCAAGAAATTTTTTTAAGATTTTATTTATTCTACTTTATATGTATGAGTGTTTTGCATGCATGTATGTGTACCGCGTGCATGCCTGGTGCTTACAGAGGGCAGAAGAGGGTGTTGGATCCCCTGGAACTGAAGTTACGGGTGATTATGAGCTGTTATATGGGTGCTAGGAACTGAACCTGGGTCCTCTTTAAGAGCAGCAAGTGTTCTTAACTGCTGAGCGATTTCCCCAGCCACCCATTTGTTTGTAAGTGAACATTTACAAACTTTCGCAATGTATCTCTCTTACCAGAGATATATGGATTAATCAGTGGCCAGCCGTACTGCCCTCAGAGTGTAGAAGGCCCTTGAGAGACATTAATGCCTGCTCATCAGATGGACACAAGTCAGCTCAAAGACATGTATCAAATTAGTAAATATTAAAAATTGTCTCAACTTTTCTGAATGCCAGTCTTTGCCATTGGGACTTTCTGAAATAATATTTGACCTTTGAAATTATATTAGATCTTAGCTTTTAAAATTTCAATTCATCCCAAGATTAACAGCAATAAAAAAAATCCCGGCCAGCTGTACTCCAGCCTCCCAAAGCCCTTGTATTCCCAATAACTTCCCACCCACAGTGTTTCCGGCTCCCACCTTTCCCATATCTGGAGTATTCTTTCTGTCAATGTGTTAACTTTAGCTGGTCAGGCAAAATAACTTTATATAGCTCCACAGTTCCAAAAGCCTCACATACACAGGCCACCTAAAAACCTTCGAAACTAGACTCTCCCTTAACGTCACCAGCTTGTCGGCCTTGCCCCAAATACGTGTGCGACACTGGTACAATTTAATTACAATCACATATGCCCTCAAATGTGCCGATCTGTTTAGTTTGGGGAGGAATGATTCTGAGGAGGCCTGTAAGTTTGCAAAATTGCTCAGCTGAATTTAGCTGCTTTCCACAGGGATTTCCTCTGTAGTAAAACAGAAAAAAAAATTATTAAAAAAAAAAAAAGTAAGCTTTGTGCCAGGGTGGTGCAATGTGAGGGAGCAAGGAGGGGGGAAGGAAATGGCTTATAGAGGAAAAATGCAGAGAAACTGTAAAGGCTGATCCTTTATTTCTAACAGGAAGGCCCTGAGATAGCACCTCTTAATGTTAACACATAGCAGAGAAAAAGATATAGACATTCACTGCGCTACTGAACTTCAATAGTAAAAATATACACGTAATAAGAAGTGATTGTATTGTCCCATTTGAATGCTCCTTAAAATTTTTCTGGGTCTCTCAGTTAAAACAAATTTATTTTCCTGTGTGTATGTGTGTGTGTGTTTAAAGAAAGTTCTCAGTAATATGTTCTAGTTGTGTTTGGTTCTTAAGCATTAGTCAGTCTTATCGTTCCTGACAATCAAGAGGAAACAATAAACTCAAGATCCCAACACTGTGGGTAGCTAACACTCAGTTAGCTGAGTCCCTGAATTACTCAGGTGACATTAACTGTTTTCCTTTCCTAGAAAAGGCCTGAATGACCAGCTTCAGGTTTGGTATTCTAGTTCAAAGGCTTAGGGCTGTACTCCAACGGGCAGGTCTCTCAGTCTGAAGTTCCTGAGAAGATATTTGTTTTGTTTTGTTTTGTTTTGAACTGACAAGGACTATAAAATATAAAATATAGATGAATAGATAGATAGATAGATAGATAGATAGATAGATAGATAGATATATAGATAGATGAGAAGAGAAGACTGAATAGGTTCAAACTACCCCAAGGTTTTGGGGGTGTTTCCTTTTCCCAATGTGTGAAAGTGAAAGCTGTCTCTCTGTGTCCCTGGTTTAGTTTATTCTACAATTTATTTGGGGTGTCTTCTGTTTGAAACATTCAAATTGCTCACAGGCCTCTCCCATGGAATCTTTGAAGCAGGGGTGAGGTGTGCAGGGGGGGGGGTCGTGGGAGTAAGATAAGCTACGGCTGACAGGTTGGGGCTGAGAAATTTTTATCACAGTCCTGACTCTTACCTGAATTTTTTGTTTGTTTGTTTTTTAGGAAAATGCAAAAAAGATTAAAAGATGGCTGGGGAAAGAGAAAAAAAAAAGCCCTGGTCTCAGTCAGAGGGTGTCTAGTCAGCCAAACTCCAAGATAAGCTAATGTGTCCTTTTCCTTTGCAAACTCGTTTTTAAAATTCAACCCTCAACTTTCAAAAATCTGTCTCTAATTTCAAACTCAAATAAGCTCACAGCATGGTGGCTTTTGTTTTGTTTTCTTCTCCCCAACTCCTCCCTGCGATTGCATAACAAAAGTGTCTAAATTCACACCATCTGGCCGATAAAGACACTGGCCCCACTGCCCGGCTGGCCCATCTGATTAGGGCCCTGTCTAGCCTGCGCCTTGTGGCGAAAAGTCACAGCTGTGGGGTTTGCTCACGCTCAATACAACTCTGTTATTAGCCAGCTGTAGGCCTAGAGACGACTTCTGTTCAAATTATAATATCTTTTAACCCTCTGAGCATTGAGGGCACAGGGGTGGCTGGCAGCAACATAACACCTAGATATCTCCTTGCTAATAATTGGCAAAATGAACTAAGGCAGGGAAGAGCAGAGATCACTGTGGAAGAGAGAAAAAGTTATTCCTAAAGAGATGAATTTTTGCGCCTTTGTTTACACACACACACACACACACACACACACACACACACACACACACACACGAGCACACATGCGTGCACACACACACACACACCACCACCACCACCACCACCACCATCACCACCATAGCCAAACACCAGTTAATAAACCTTTTACTAATAATTACAGAATAACAAGGCATTTCCGGAAGTACCCAGGTATGCCATACAAGACCATGAAATAAAAGTATGTGTACTAATTGGTCACTGAAGAACCGGGCACTCATGCTCCATCATTGACAGCTATAACTGACAGTTCAAATGAAGAAGGAACAGGTCCCCTTCTAGGAGAATCAGTTCCCTTGACTAGTGAGAAGATCCCCGGTGCCTCTGACTCACCTATCTCTCCCCCCCACACACACACACACACACACACACACACACACACACACACACAGGCACTGCAGACAGTAACCCAACCAACCAATTGTTTATTCACTCATAATTAATATTTGTTTGAGAATCTAGTTTGGAAAGAAAGAAAGAGTACATCTTCCTGGCTCTCCACTGCAGAGAAGTTACAGTACATTAAATTTTTATATTGTGTTACTAATGCAGACTAAACTAGAGGCTTTAAAAATTGATGCTGCTATTTAAATAGCATAAAATGAGGAAGATTTGATTAGGCTTAAAAAATAAAAGTCATCCTTAACTACAGCTGCATGGGGTGTGAGAGAATTATTTAAAGTGATAGGGAGAATTCATTAGGCACTGGCTACTTGGGGCCTTTCTTTTCTTTTAAGATTGTCTCTCCAAACAATGATACTTAGAAGTGTAGAGAGAGAGAAGAAACCTCCTTTTGACTAGCCAACCAATTCAAAATGCTGTGGCTGTGTAGTCTAAGTATGACAGGCAAGGGTGTTTTGGAGGAATGATATTTTCCTTCTGACCAGACCTATCAAGTGATCCAAAGTAATGGAGTATCTCCCCCACCCCTGCCCAGACCCTCCTCAGGCTCTGGCACTGATGCCGTTCTCTTGAGGTCATGGTCAGGCCTCAACTTTGCCTCTTGGTGAATTTGCTTTTCTAATACTTGGCCACAACCTAAACAAGCATGTCTAATTGCTATGATTTCTTATTGGCTGGACTGAGGTGGCAGGGAGGGCTTTAGAGAGAGCTTCCTATGGAACAGTCCCTACTAAGTTGGATGGCCTGCAGTTATCCCCAAACTGCCAGGAATGGGAAGAACAGTCAATGACTTGAGAGCAGAAATTTGGAGAGAGGGAAATGTGTGTACAAAAGAGACTTTTCTGTTTTATACGAAAGGCATTCTTCCCAGAATCCTCTTCATATATCCTTTCCCATTTATGGACGGCTCATTAAAACCCTATCCACTAGACAGCACACACTGAGCACTCCAAAAACATGAGCTGAAAGATTGAGTGTAAGAATGAATTTACCACCATCACCACTAATTTTCTTCTATTTAAGTAGAAGAAAGGGGGCAATATGCAGAGTTCAAAATAAAATGGATTGGGCTCTGAGGGCAGGCAGAAAGAACTCCAGTAGACTGTACTTTTCACAGTGTGGGAGCCTATAAATCCACTTTTCCTGGGACCCCAGATGTACCAAGCTTGGGCTTCTCCCTATCTGTGCACCCTCTGGTGCCCCGACTCAACTGATTTTTTTTTTCTGTCCTATGATTCCTTCTTGACCTGAGAAACAGCCCTGGTGTGAAATCTTACAGTCATGGGAAAAGCAACTTTGCCAGCAGGGGATAAAAAGCCCAGGCATCTCCTGGAAGGACTGGGGCTTAGGACCTGGCCTCTCAGCCCTCTGGTGGTGCTTTGCCTCAACTAAGTCAACCCAGGGCTTAGGGCTCAGCAACTAACTCCACAAGTGGCACTGTTGGAATTCTACCCCCAAGACAGAGTGTCTTGGGGGAAGCTTTTATCCCAAATTCAACTCCGGCCTGATGCCTAAGCAGCAGCATTCTTCAAGATCAGCCCAGGGACAAATCTGCCAGGTGTCTTTGGCAAAGCAGTCCCAGGAGCTTCTAGCCAAGGCCAGGAAAAAGGTGGCTCTTACCTGCACATCACCTCATGCGTCAGCAGAACCCGGCACATTTCTGGATTCTTGTTCTGTCCCTCATAGGCTATGGGCTGTCAGAAAGGAAAGCATAGACAGGGTAGAGGCAAAGACAGGACTTTAGAACAAGTACAAAACTTGGTACACACACACACACACACACACACACACACACACACACACACACACACACACTCCCTGCCCCAGGGCTCTGGCACAGAACTAGAGCCTTTGCCTGATTAATATAGAAATCTGCCCCTTAGTTCTTAGCAAAGAGGAATACCCCAGTGAACTGAATCTTCCAATAACTGCTTGCTGTCTTCGGCCCTTTATTTACCACCACCACCCCCACCACCCAGCATTCCCCCACAGCATATGAAATGAGGAGAGAGGATTGTTTTCATTTTGTTTTGTTTGTTTCCCAGTGTGTACTTGAGGTGAGGTACTGTAAATCATGCTAGGGGCAGAAGTCATAGACAACCAGGAGAGCAGGGAGCCAATAGCAACTCCCTCAGGGTTCACCTGCTTGGTGACAGAGTCGATGAGCCTGACATAGAGGTCCTGTTCAGTGCGGACACCTGCAGGGAAGGAGACAGGCAGTGGTGGGCAATGACAGCAGGGACCCTCTCACATCCCAACCCCTTCCCTGCCCTCGAGCCAGCCTTTCAGGCCACAGACCCCTTAATGGAACTGACCTGGAGGGGGTCACCCCTCCATTGTCATCCCCAGCCAGAACCTGCACTCACTAGTCTACTGACTCTGGACACAGTAGGCAGTAGACAGCCCTACTCCCTGGCCGCTAGACGCCTGCCCACTATGTCACTTACCGTTGCTGTAAAGGAGCTGTAACTTGTAATGGGTGCCGTTGTTGGTCTTCTCGTTGCCTTGCTCCTAAAAATACAGAAACCCTTCATTCTTGGACTTTCTGGTACCCCCCCCTCCCCCGCCATGAGAGAAACAGGTCATGAACAATTCCCCCCACCCCGGCCCGGGCCAAAGTGCAAGGAGCATCTCCTGCCATTGGCCACCTTGGGAAATTTGTCAAGGCTTGTAGCCACTTGACCTTCACCAGCCCTTGTCTCTCACTCTTAAAAATGTCCTCATAAGTGCACCCCTGCCTCTGGGCAGTGATAACCAGACACCAACACCAACACTCTCTTTAAATAGTCCCCACCCCAATCCATCTGCCCTTAGCAAGCCCCTGAGCTTCTCTCTGAAGGGAGAAAAGTGAGCCGCCTCTCCTTTAGAAGGGCAGCATTAGTTCCGCAAAAATGTGAGTGACCAGGCCCAGAGCTCCCGGACCTTTAGCAACTGGCTAAAGGTTTCCCTTTGCATGGCTCAGGAGGCTGGGGCCCGCCACAGCTGTTGGGCATATATTGGTTTAGGTAAACAACCCTTCATTTCAGATCAAATCCAGCCCTCAAATCAGAGTTTAAGTTCAAAGGAGACCCTCCGTTGTTACGGGAGTAAAGGGTTTCAACGAGAAAGAAAGCGAGCCCTGGAAGGCTGGTCAGGGTTCCCACTGAAATGACAAACCTGCACCCGCTTGCCCTCTTCCTGCTGCCAGGTGAAAATAATAATAAAATAACCTGGAGACTGACAGTGGCAGTTGGTTATACTTTTTAAACTACGTTCTAAAGAACTTTTTCTCCGAGGTCAGTCGGTGGCCTGTCGCTACTACTGACCCGAAGACTAGACTAGACGCTCGCGCGCACTGCGGCACTGCCTGCCACAAGCAGTGCAGTGCCTGCCTGATTTCGGAGCAGGACCAGCCGAGTGGGGAGGCGTCCACTGAGTTAGAGGCTGAGGGTGAGAAGCCTCAATTTATCATCCCTCGTGATGCGAGCGGGAAAGTGTCGCAAGTGACAGATGGAATTCTTAGTGCTTTGCAGGGAGGGAGTTATTAGGCCTGGGAGGGGGGCGCCAGGGGTCTGCTTACTTTGTCGTTCTCCACAAAGTCCACGAAGGCCGTGCGCTCGATCTCCACCGGCTGTCCCTGCCTGTCGTAGAGCGCCAGCACAAAATGAAAGAAGTTGGATTTCCTCAAGTTAGAGGGAGGTTGCTTTTCAAAGTGGGCCCGGGACAGGGCCACTCCGCTGCACGGGAAGAGATGGGAAGGGGACAGGACACCGGGAAAGAGAGAAAGACAAGAGTGTTAGGCAGTTACTAACGTGCCCAAACCACAATGCAGAGAGGCCAAGAGGCCTACAACCCAGGCCCCAAGTACCTGAAACCTCCAGGTCCTTTACCATTCCCAGATTAAGAAGCACACTGTCTTAGACTTGTAATAGGCAGCTTGCTCCCACCACACAGTTAGTTATACAGCCTCCCAGAATTCTGTCACCAACGCGAAAGATCAGGGCTGCCAGATGAAGTCCTGAGAAACGCTTCTAAACCCCCAGACAACTGCCCCATCTTTTCCATCAGCCTGCTGCCAAACCTCAAAGCTGTGACACAGCTTGGGGGGGGGGGGTTGAGATTCTTTTGCATCTGAGCAAGTCACCCCTTTAATTCCTGTCTAATGAGTTACCAGATCTGTGACACAGCCTAAAAGATGGGAAACGAAGAGTCCAAATCTTGGTCCTCAGGCCTCACCCACGGTTTGGCTTACTCTACCAAAATTTGCATCTAGGACAGCGCCACTGCCACTGTAAAATCCCCACAGTCATTGCTAGGGAAAGCGGGTTAGGGACGAACACTTGCTACTTGAGGACTTCGCCCCCCAGAGCTGCTCCACGTGGAGAAGCCAAAGTGTTAGGAGGCAATCAGTGTCTTAGCCAGGGACCCGGGTGATCCGTGCTCAAGCGTTTTCTCCAAATTGCCTGACTGGGTAAAGGTGGACCCGGAGCCCTCCAGAGCGGTGAATGTGTACACGGAACCTCCATGTATACCTGTCTCCGTTATTGCCACATATAACTGAAAATCTTGTGGCGCTGGCAAACTGACAGATGTCAAGAGCCGCCTGGTGGCCCTAGGGTCTTCTGGGTTCTTGTGTCGGGCACGATCACCATTACTTTTTTTTGAAAGGTGTACATTTTTGGCTAGATTCTGACTGCCTGTTCAAACTTTAACAAGGTGCATTTTATTTCGGATCGGAAGACAAGAGCGTGGACAATGCCTTTAAGTCCCCCTAGGAGATGGATCACAGTGTGGATCTGCTGAGCTGCCTTGGTTTCCTCGGCTTGCCGCCGGGGCGAGTCCTCAGACCGCTGTTGAGAACCGCGGGCGCCGCTAGGTACCATCTGCTTCAGAGACAACTGAGCATCCCGGCGCCGGAGTGGTGGCAGTCGGGCACCGCAGCCCCCGCTTCAGTCACCCGGCGTGCGGCCTCTGCTTTGGCTCCTTCAAGGTTGGCAGTCAGTTCGCTCTACCCGGGACGCCAGGAGATGGAGCCTGGTTGGAAAGGGGGGAGGGTCATTTCTCGGTGTGAAGTCTATGTTAAAGGAGGCTGGCGCGGAGAGCGGAGGGAGAGATAGCAGTCGTGGGAGAAGTTTGTAGGCTCTTGAGAGACTAAGGGAGCAGCCTCTCGGAGACAGAGACACGAAGGCTACGAATTCCAGTTGAGAAGCGATGAGGAGAAGGAGGATTCCAGTGTCTTCATGGGATGGAACAGTAGACAAGACTTTACCATCCACAAACTTGAAGATTTGGAAACAAAACTCAACTTGAGGAGCCCGCAAAATTGGAAGCTGATCGGCTCTTCGGCTCAGGCGACGGATCTCCTTTTTCTTCTCTCCCTCGACTTCTCCTGTGCTTCGATCCTTCATCTTTAATTTCTCGCCCCCCTCGGTTTGTCGGGACCACTCTCTCTGACCCAGGACCCTCTTGCTTGCCTGTCCCCTATCCCAGAGCTCCCGGCAGCTTTGCCTTCCCCTGCAGCCGCTCAGGCCTTTCCGGATCCTCTCGCCGCCGCCACCATCTGGCCGCTGGGCTCCCAGAGTCTCGGAACCATCCAGAAAGATGTCGGAGGAAAGGCGCTCGCAGGCGGCGTGGAGAAACCTTGAAGTGGCCGGGAAGCCGGCTCCGCTGCTGTGCGGGCTGCCAGCTCGGGTCCTCACGCTCTGCTCCTCTAGACTCCATGAGTAAATGCTGAGGTATGACGCTGTAATGCTACTTTAAAATATTTCCCCCGCAAAGAATGGACTGTGGGAAGGAGTGAAGGAGAAACACCTATGACCTCGGTAGTTCAGAAACTCCAATGTTGGCTGCCGGAGGATTCCCCTGGCCTCAGCGACCTGCCCGCCCCCGGGAGAGCCCCAATGCGCATGGCCTGGAAGGACAGACGGGGACAGAGAGAAACAGAGGGAGAAGGGGAGAGGGACACATGGAGAGACAGACAGCCAGAGACTTCCAGAGCACAATGGCTCCAGTCTCATTACCTCTGAGCCGCGACATTGGCATCCACCACGCCGACGTTCCGGACCCAGGACCTGACCGAATCCATCTCGGCGCCCAGCGACTTTTCTTTCAGAGCTGGTCCTCTTCCTAGCGTATCTTGAATCCCAAACATTTAAAAAGTCTAATCCTCTACTGTCGCCTTAAAAGTGACTTTACGACAACACCGCCCCGACTTTCCAACGAGGGCAGCAAACGGTGTTCTCACAAGCAATCCGAGAAAGAGGGCAAGTGGCGAAGTTTGGGACCCTCTTGAAAAGCAATAATCAGCCCTTCCCTACACGCACGATGCAGTCAAAAGTTTGGGTTTTTATCCTCGGTGGCTTCAGATCTGCCGCCTCGGGACTTCCACCACCCTAGGTCGCCCGCATCCTTCCAGTTGCAGAGCTTTCTCCAAAAAGTGATCACAATTTAGAAGCATCACCTGTTCTGGGAAAAACAGGAGGAGATAGAAAGCTGCCTGATCTCTCCCCTTCCTCCTGGTCCCCCCTCCCTGCTCCTCCCCACCGTTCCAATATAGAAAAAAAAAAAAAAAATCCCCAACAGGATCAGTTGTAAGAGGAAGGGGAAGACCCGGAGCCTGGAGGAGGCGGTGGCTGAGAGCGCAGCGGAGCCGGGCTGCAGCCGCGCGCGGGCCCCATGAATGGTTACTACAACCCGGGCCGCGGGAGGCGGAGCCGAGGCCCGATAAGGAGCCTCATTTGCATGGACGCCCGGGATTGGCCGGCTCTGGGCAAGCCGGGCGGACGTTGTCCCCGCGGCGTTCTCCACGCTCCCGGTTGCCCGAAGTCCGGGAGGTGAAAGGCTACTGCAAGCTGTAGGAGCAGAGTCTGGGTCGGGACCCCCAGTGCTTGGCCTGCGTGGGAAGGGGGCCCCCAAATCCTGCACTGAAACAGAGTACCCGGATTCTGAGAGTTAGGAACATGATGGCTCTGTCTGATCCCGGGAGCAGGAAGCCTGAGCGGATTTGCCTCTAGGTGCAGTGTTTTTTTCGCCTGCGGGGGACCCAGCAGATTCATTCCCCGGGTTTGGATCTGTGTGCACGTTTGGCAGCAAGCAGAAAGTATGACCACCTGCACTCGCTTTATGCAAACACTTCCCCCAGGGCATCCATTTTCCTGAGCCGGTCCCAAGTCTCATAGAGTTCCAGGGTGACTCTCATTTCGCGTGAGGGCTACAAGTGTTAAAAGGAGAGGAGAGATGAAGGAAGGCAAGAGCGGAGTGTGGACGAGTGAGGCTCAAGTGCAGTTTAAATAAATATAATGCCGAGGGAAATGGTGGGGGAGCTAAGGAAAACAGTCCTGGGAGGGTGGTAGCACGCACCTTTGCAGATGGGAGAGGTTGCTGACAGCTTGGCAGGCTGAGAACTGCCGGGTGCAGTTTCGGGAACCTCCCTTGTATCTCCCTCCCCAATCCCTGAAGCCCAGGGAACCCTGCGGAGGAGACAAGAGGCGGCTGCGAGGGAGTCCAGGAAACTTTGTCCGCCTAGCGTTGTGGTCGCGAGGGTTGGTGGCCGGGAAGCGGCGGCAGCTCCACAAAATAGCTGAAACCCTAGACGCCTCGAGGTGCCTATTAAAAAAAAAAAATCCTCCTGGCTGGGTGTTATTTTCTTGCTTCTCTTTTTGTATTCTGATCTGCGCGTAGATCTGCTGTTGAAATCTAGAACGCCAGCGCGAAAACAGATTTGAAGACAATGAATGCAAATCTGTGCTCAAAGACCATCTGCCGTGGAGGAGACAATCAGCTGCGCCGCGGTTCGAGCGACTGCACCCGAGCCTCCCAGCCTCATTACATTCGGGAGACTTCCCTCCCCACTCAGAGCTCAGGTTTGAGTGTCAATTGAGTCCTGATCGGACCCCCTAGGTGTAGGTGAGCGTTCACAGATGAACTGCGAGAGTTAGCCGCTAGAGGACACAGCGCCTGGGGTGAGCGTTTGCCAGGATAGCGAACAGGAAGCTTGCTCTTTCAGAGACTGCGGCTCTTCACGGAAAGGGACCTGTTCACGTCACTTCACCTCAGGGGCAAACTGCGACTGCAAACTGCGCAGGCGGGATGGTGCTCCACTAGATCTGCTCTCGGTCTTTCGCAGAGACTCGCTTGGAAGCTGATGGAAGCGCGAGTCCTCTTTTCACATACTGATGTGGTGGTTTGGAGGGAAAGAGGCTGGAGTTCCTGGTGTACCCCAACGCCAGGCCCCTGGCTCGGCCTTCCTAGGTGGCTTAAAAGGGAGGAGGGGTGGCTTGCGGTGCAGTTGAGTATAAGAAAATGGAATGGCTGAGTTACATAAGTCAGTGGTCCAACAAAAGAAGAGGGAGATTAGGGAGAAACTGGTAGCGATAACATCCACTATTGCGCTTTCAGCTCCACGCTTCTCTGCTATGCGAAGATTTTACGAATAATTGCGACCCAGGAAAATCACCCAGAGCCTTCTCCTCCATATTTTTATCACCTCTTTTTCCCCCCCCCCCCTCTTTTTTTTTTTTTTTTTTTTTTTTTTTTTTGTAAATCTGCAGAATTTAAGTAATCCCTTCCCCTTGTCTTTCTTGTCCCAGCCCTGTCCTAGCTGGGCAAGGCCTCGGGTTCCTCCGTGGAGAGTATTACCAGCCAGTGAGCCCTCTGACGTGTGGATGAAGACTTGCTTTTGTTTTGCTTTGTTTTGTCTTAAGCTCCCCAAGGAAACTTTATCAGTTACACCTCGAAAGTGTAAGAGAAAGATGCCCAGAGCCCGAGGGGCTGCGGGGCAGCACTGGGCTCAAGCCTAGTCCGGACCTTGAGACCCCGGAGGCTCAGGGTTAAAGGGCAGCGCCAAGGTCGCTGACGCCTATTTTTTCACCAGTAGCAGCTGCCGCCCAAATTATACCCCTCAGGAAGCGAAAGAATTATTCCTTTCTCCCGGCTCCCGGCCGTCTTCTCCAAAGCATACCCTCGTCGGTGGCGACCCACCTCCCTCCTCTCGGGTGACAAGTTCAGGGTGGCGGTGCCCTTCTGGGAGATGGTTTGCCAGTACCTTGCCTCTAGATCTTTAAGCCCGAGGGACTCCAAGCCCTTAGTCGGCTGCGCTGAGGGAGCCCTTCATGCGGCCCCTCAGTCACTGAGACAACCTGCCGACCCGCAGCTCTGGGTCCCCTAGGGTGGCTAGCCCAGAGTCCAGAAGTTCCTTCTAGGTGGAGATGGCATTCCAGGCCGAGTGCGGAGGAGCAGTTGGCCTTGTGCCTAGTACTGCGAGGCTTGTGCGAGGTGGGCGCCTTTCTGTCCACAGCCTTGGCTCTGATTATGGTTGTGGGTGGAGGGAGGTCTTCGGGAGGGTGACAGCAGAATTGACCACCCGCGGCGAAGTAGCACCGAAGTAGCAGTGCTGGTGGCTGCAGCGCTCAGCAATCGTGGCGCCTAGAGGGTCTTTCCGCTCTCTTTCGCCCCCGGCTACCTGAGAATAGCCTACTTTAGTAACCTGCAAACACAAACTCCCGGCTAGAGCCCGACCCCGCAGAGTACCAAGCCTTCCTCCGCCCAAGGTTGGCGAGTCTTTTTCCATCCCCGAGAAAAATCCAGAACTCATAGTATTACTATTGCTCACGACCATCTAGTTACACAAACTGGGGAGGTGGTTTGGGCATTCCAGCTATTACTCTGTCACGGCCTTTGTTCACTCTCTAAAATACCAGACTCCAGGTTCGGATTTCCCTCTGCAGCTTTAAGACAGTGTGTTCAGTCTCTGGAATGGTTTTAAGGCCGGGTTGGTCTAGTATTGCCCAGTCCTATCATCCTGCGCCAGGGCCCTTCTCTATGTCAGAGGTTTGCGGAGGGCCCATCAGGCGTCAAAACATATCCCTCACCCCACGCCCCCCCCTCTCTCTCTCTCTCTCTCTCTCTCTCACACACACACACACACACACACACACACACACACACACACACACTCCGGTGTCTGCATCTATGCAGACCAAAGCACAGATCTGTATCATTCCTGGGGAATTTGATGAACTGAGACACTAGTATGGGCTATGTAAATTAAAAAGCCTCCACAGCCTGTCTTTGGACAAGCATTTTTCATTTGCCAGCTTTTGTTTTTATTTAAACTGGAATTTTTTATTTATTTGTCCAAATAGAGAAAAATGACTTTGCTCCATCTCAGACTCCTACTGAGTAATTAATCCACAATTCATAAATGACTTTTTAAAACTTCATTGACCCCCACACTAAATTACAAGCTGGACATTTTTTTCTACCAGAAACTATATTTGTATAGTACATAAGTAGTACATAAGTACAAATTCCCTAGAGAGGGGAAAGCAAAGAAATTACTTCATTTATAACTTCATGATAACTATCTCACACGTACACACCAAGAAATTTCCTTTAAGGACAGTTCGGTCAGACGGAGTTCAATTTTGTTTTGTTTTTAACACAGTGAAGCAGAGTCAAGCGGGACCGCATACAGAAATACTAAGGATATGGTCTAGAAAGTTTTATAGGCACACCCTGTGTGGTGCCCAAGTCAACTGGGTCCCTGCGATGTATTTATCCAAAATGAACTAAAAGAGCCTAATGCTTGTGGAAACTCCAGACAGTCTGGTCCCCCTCGACTTCATGTTCCTCTCCCACCCGCTACTTCACCCCTGCCTCATTGGTAGCGCCCTTAAGAAATCCGCTTCCTTCCCACTCACTCATTCCAAGAGATCGCAAAAAGCCCGGGAGCCAGAGTCGAGCCAAAGTGTGGAAAGGTAAAGAGGGACAATGCCAGCAGCAGCAACCGCTACAACAGCGGCATTTGGAACCCTGAGGTCATCTGCGCTGGACCCGTGGGCAGTGCGGAAACGGCTAAGGTCTGCGAGAGGACACAGGTGGACTGGCAGCTTCTACTCTAACTCTGAGACCCAACGTCTCTGGTGCTGGACAAGACCGGTCCTTGGGCCCACGCTTGAATAAACCTGCCTGGTTTCAGTCACTTCCAGGAACCTATGCACGAAGGCCGCGCATACTGTCCCGACTGTACTCAGGGCGTCCGGATCAGGCAGGGGGCAATTCACAAAGGTGGGACATTTACCAAGAAGTTGTGGGGTGCCGGGCACTATCGGAGCATTCCACCACTCGGTTTGACAAGAACCGTTTCAGCGTTTTTTGGGGGGAGGGGGTGCTCCCACGTCGCAGAGGAGCAAAATGAGCTTGGGGATGGCAAGTGACAGCTCCGCTGATAAGCAGAAAACAAACCCCTCTCATTGGTCTTCCATTTCCAAACAGGATAGGCAGTAGAAGGCCTTTCAAGAGGGAAAAGTTAAATGTGAGTCTTCTAACGTGTTTTCCCCCTCCTAGTTTCTCAACTCATCTGAGATAAGCAAAGAGACATTCTGAAATACACCCCCACCCCTTTTTCCTGGTGGTCCCCCTCCCCGCCGCCGCCAGCAGGCAGGGGAAAGCCCGCGGGACCTCTCAGCTCCCTTCCCGCTCCCGGCGGAGGTGTGAGCGATGTGTTGATTATTCATATTTTTGCCGAATGCACACTCCGCCGCGGCCGGCGCCGCCACATTTCACACGTATACTCACGTACACACTTGATACGCGCGCTCGCCGGGCACCGCAAACTCAGTGCTCAGTGCGAGGAGACTGCGCCCTCCCCCCCACCCAGGGG